TACCTGTTCCCTCCACCGGAGTCACTCCTTTCTCCCATGCTGAGCACCTGACAGACTCGTAAGCTCACCTCCTCCCTGACATCTGAGTGACCACTCGATATCGTCACTTTGGGGTCTCTGTGGGGGCTATTTCCTCTGCCTTTCCCTCCTCCCGCAGGTCAGTCAGATCCTCTGCATGCAAGGGATAGAACACCAGCCCGTACTATTCCAGCCCCAAATGGGAAATGCAGTGACTCACAGAACTAGAAAGTCCAAGGCAGGCTAATTTCAGGTATGGCTGGACCCAGGCGTTCACACCGTCCAGATCCGTGTTGCTCTCTCCCCGGCAGACTTCGCCCTTGTTTTGTGCTCTTCTGCTCTAGGGTTTCTATTTCTAAGTGTATTCGTTCATTTCTCCCATGAGAGAGGGAATGAGACTCCCAACAGGGGCTCCATGCTGCACTCCACCTCCCGTCTCAGGGAGGCCCCAGGACACGAACCCAGGACCTTCCCTCTGTGACTACCGTGTTCCCACTGTGCTACCGCTGGACCTCTCTTTTGTCCTAGGCTTTCATTTGCTCACTGTCAATCCAATGAAAAAAAAATCACATCTCCTTCCCAGACAGCTGTCACTGTGTAATGACATTTCAGTCAATGAGATGGCGTAGGCAATAGTGGTCCCCTGAGGTCATCTGCCTGGCCTAGACAGGCTGGGGGCTGCTCCATCCATTCTGCGAGCACACCCCGATGGTCGCACAAGGAAGAACTTGCCCAAGAAAGCCTCTCAGAACGCATCCCCATCGTCACGTGACCCAGCACTCGGATCCTGGGGTTGGTTGTCACTGGGCAGGCTTAGCCACATGTGAGACCCAGTCACCTGTCCACCCCTAGAAACAGAGGCTGAGGGACACTGCCCCAAACCTCGTGACCTAAGATGGCAGAATAGATTCTCCTGTAGGAAACTGGCGTGCTCCTCCCAAGAGGAGAGGTGCAGCCTAACGGCCCATCACGCCCCACCTCCCTGCAGACCCCTGCTCACGCCGGCATGCTGTACAGCCTCAGGGCAACCCTTCCCCTCTCTGAGCCTCGTGTTCCTCCTCTGGAAAATGGGCAGGAGGCTGTTTGAATTCCAGCATTCCAAATTCCGGGATAGCTTCCAGAACTGGAGGCTGCTCCCTAAATCCCAGGAACGTTCCAGTACTTCTGGGGACGGAAGTGAAGCCTCAGCCAGAACCCCCCTCCCAGCCCCAGCCTCAGAACATGCCTGCAAGATGACAATTGGGCTCCCTTCGGCCGAAATTCCACTCCCGTGGGGGCCCTGCCAAGGAAAACAAGCCCAAGAACCGGGCATGGAAGGTGAGCATACTTGACGCGCTCGGAGATGACAAACTATTTACACAGGTGTGGGAGCCGTCCCCGCGCACCCAGCTCGCCTTTCTTCTTCTCCCTCTCCTTTCCAAATTCTTTCCCCCAAGGGTGCTGACAGACGTGCCAGCGGAGGGGGCGGCTGGTCGTAGAGGCCTGCCCAGAGCAACTCCACAGACCCAAGGCAAAGGGGCAGAAAGGAGGGGGTCTGTGCCCCGTGGGCCCCAGCCTCACTCACTGCCCACGCGCTGTCTGCCCCACTGCCCCGGGGGAAGCGAGGCTGTGGTCCTGGGGAGCTCAGCACGGCCTGAGCCCTCCAAGAAACTGGCCAGCCTGGTGTTGCAGTCGGGAGCCGACTGACGCAGGGCCAGCAGCCTGTGGCTGACCACGGTCGGGACCCCTGGGTCGGCCTGAAGACACCCAGGGCCTGAGCACCACGTTCCTGAGGTCCCGATGAGCAGGAGAGGATCCTGGCGTGACAAGACCCCATTGAGGGCGTCCCGTCTCTCTCTCTCTCTCTCTCTCTTGCTCTCTCTTTCACACATGTGCTGCCTACCACAAATAAAAAATTATAAAAAAAGAAGAAAGCAACTCATGTCCAGTCCATTCCTTGTCCACAAGGAGATTGTGGGAGCGAGAGGTGAAAGCAACTCCGGGGGGTGGGGGTCACACAGCCAGTTAGTATCTGGCCCCGGAGCTGGCGAGGACAGTTTTCTGGGCATCTTCCTCGTGCCCAACGGTGTGCTGTGCTCCGAGAGTGCGCCGTGAACCGCAAGGGCAGAACCCCGAAAGAACACGCTGGCACGGACAGCACTGTGCCTCCCTGATGCTGGAACAACGAAGCGGCTGGGCCGAGATGACGTCTGAGACGAGAAAGACGAGGAGGAGGCAGCCGTGCAGAGATGGACGGGAGGAACTCCCAGCAGACTGCAGAGCGCATGCAAAGGCCCTGGCCCCACAGAGGGGCAGCACCGTGCGGCGGCCACCCAGCACAGCCAGGTTCCAGCCCCGCCTGCCCGAGAGTGAGGGGCATCTGGCAGGCACTACTCCCTGAGGGAGGGAAGCAGAGACTGAGGTGGCTGCTGAGTCACGGGGAACAGCAGGCTCCCAGGCCACAAGGGGCTCTGCCTCAGTTTACCCGCTGTAAGAAATGGGCTTAATAACATGTCTGCCTCCAGGGCTGACTTCAGAGGGGTCTGGGAGGGTTAATTATGGCTGGCAGCTCCGTGAGCCTTGATGAAAGGCGGTGGGAAGCGGGCACTGGTAACCCGGGCAGGTAATTTCCCCCTCCGGGAAGGATGCCCAAGGGTCCCAGCAGGAGTCGCCTCTGGTTCTGGACCAACCCCAGATGAGCCACAAGTCTCCTGCCTGGACTCTGAGATCCCCATGCCAGGTAAACGGGAGCTGTGAGTGATCAGAAGTAGGCCAGGGTTCAAGTCCCAGCTCTGCCATTGCTCTGGCCAGGAGACCTGGGTGACACTCCTCGCCTCTCGGGGCCTCTGTCTCTGCATCTGCACAAGGGGGTGCCGCCTGGCGCATCCCACGGGTGCTGTGGGTGTTTCCCACACGTGTATCTGGACAGTTGGTTCGGGGCCTCTGTCTCTGCATCTGCACAAGGGAGTGCCACCTGGCGTGTCCCACGGGCGCTGTGGGTGTTTCCCACACGTATATCTAGACAGTTGGCCGGGGCCTCTGTCTCTGCATCTGCACAAGGGAGTGCCACCTGGCGTGTCCCACGGGCGCTGTGGGTGTTTCCCACACGTATATCTAGACAGTTGGCGCCTGACCAGCCCATCTCCCCACAGCCTCTGTTAGAGACCCGAGTGGCACATCGGGTCACAGACATCCATGTTGCCAGCTGGCTCTGCCTCCCTGACCTGAGGGAACAGGCCTTCCTGACCTGAGGGACTTTTCTAGAGATAACTCAGGCTCCGCCCTGGAAGGCCAACCCTCCCTCTTCCCTCTCTGTGGTTCCTGGGTCTTCATCCACCACCCTGGCCTGCCTGCCTCTACACACACATTCATGTACCTCCATGAACATGTACACACATGCACACGTATGCACCTATGTGTATGCACAAACACACCTGCACACTCAGACACATTCATACACACACACATACACACCTGCACGTGCACACACACACATCCAAGCTCTCGGGCGGCTATGAGTGCACAGCCTGGTCCCTGACAACCCACGGATGGTCTCTTCCAGGGCTGGGGCAGAGTCTGAGGCTAGAGGCCCCTTCTTTTTCCTAGTCCCTTCACAGGGCAGCCTCATGCCCTCACACAGGCGGGGTTGCTGAGGGTCAGCCAGGCCCATGCCAAGGCCGGAGCTGTGGAGAGGCGGGGAGAGCCCACATCCAGGCCTGCTGGGCCCAGCCCTCGGCTCCCCTGCAACCTGACTCAAAACCCTCTGGGTATCCCCCGCCTCCAGTGGGGAGTCTGAGGCCCTAGCCAGCCTCAGCCCTGGGACAGGCTCCCAGTTGAGTCCTGGGCAGGAGGCCCCCTACTGTGAGCGGGGAAATGCCGGGCCCTTGGCAAGGGTCCCTGCAGGTACAAGTGGGCATAGGCGGCCCCTTTCAGGAAGAACTGGGGTTCAGACAGTTGCTCTGAGTCAGCCCTGCAGAGCCCACCCCAACCCCTCCCCTCACTCCCTGCTAGGCCTGCAACTCCCAGATTCCCATGCCCCCACCCCTGCCCGTGCACCTGCAGCCCCTCTGCCTGGGTCCCATCCCTCACTCTTCTACAGGGCTGGCCTCTCCTGTATGTTCAGGTTCTGCTCTAACGGCACCTCCTCAAAGGGAGCCCCCAGCTCCCTCCACCATGCCCCTACTTATTTCTGTCAGCGCTCTGGTCACAGCAGTGACCCCCGCCCCCCCCCCATGCCTGTTTTCCCCCTAGAACACGGTGAGCTCAGTGAGAACAGGGGCCTGAGGGTTCCATCTGCACGTTCACCGTCGACCTGCAGCACGGCGGTGCTCAGTGAACGTGCTGATGGAATGAATGAAAGATACACAATTCGTACCACGGGAGGGCTGGGTCTCCTGGGGCCCATCGCCAAAGGACGGGTGGCTTCTCCAGGGTCTTACAGAATGTCCGAAGGAGCGCAGCGTCACAGCATAACCATGATATTTACCGGCGCTTCCGGGGCCAAGCCCAGGACGTGGGTCATCTTGGCTGCACGAGATCCCATGGGGCCGCTCCTGTCATTCCCATTCTCCAGAAAGGGAACTGCAGCTTCGGGTGACAGTCAGGACTGCTCCAGGTTACCAGTGACTTGGCGACCAGCTGTGACGGAATAGGGAGCCACCTCCACCCCAGC